TGACCATAACAGAATAAAGCTTGGGAACAACAGAAAGAAAATTCACAAATGTATGGGTTAAACAGCATATTCTTAAAAGAAATAAAAAAGACAATCATAAGATACTTTAAGGCCAGGCATGGTAGCACACATCTGTAATCCCAGCACTTGGGAGGTTGTGGCAGAAGGACTGTCATAAATTCAAGGCCATCCTGGGCTACGTAGCAAGACTCTGCCTCCAAAACAAAAAAAGATACTTTAAAATGAATGGAAATAAAAACAATGTAGTACAAGGTGTGGTGGCACACACCTGCAATCCCAACACTCAGGAGGCTGAGGCAGGAGGATCATTGTGTTTCACCTTTTTTTTGTCTTTTTTGTCTTTTTGACAGAGGGTCTCGCTATGCAGTTCAGCCTGCACTGTAAAAGAAAAAAGGTCCCAAGAGAATAATCTAAATTTACAAGGAACTCTGAGAACACAAGCAAGGTAAATCCAGAGTCAGAAAAGCGGAAAGAATAAAAACCACTCAGCAGTGAAGGACATGGGACACCAAAAGGCGGCTCCTTCAAAGGATTAACAAAAGTGACTACTTCATAGCTAAACCACCAAGAAAACAGCAGATCAAAGGACTAAAATCAGTGGGATCCAGTTCAGACTTTATGAAAATGGAGAGGGCTGTAAGAGAAGACACACACAGCTAGACGTCACCAGGTAAGATGAGCTGGACGGCATGGACAGACTCCTAGGGATAAAGCACCAGCACCAACTCAAGGACAAACAGTGATAAAAAAAAAAAGGACAAACAGTAATGCAGTCTAACCAGAAATAAAGACATAAGACTATATCTGCCAATAACCCGGCCTGACGTAGAAAGGCTTCGGGAATCCACGAAAGAACTGCCAGATGAGTTAGTAAGCTGAGCAAGGCTGCAAGGCATAAGACCAATACGTAAACACCAATTTCTGAAATACTTACCAGCAAACAATCAGAGTGAAATTAAGGTGGGCAACCCCCTTCCCAGGCCCCCTTCTGTCCCTCCAGACAGAGCGTTTTTTTCAATAAATTCTTCCTACTCTTAAAAAAAAGTGAAATTAAGGAAACAATTCCAGGTACAGTGTATAAAAAAAATCAAGTACTTAGCAATAAGGTCAAAAATTAATGTAAGTCTTATATGCTGAAAATACCATTTAAAAATTTTAAGAGAGCTACATAAATGGGAAGGTATCCCATATTCACTCTTGAGAAGATTGTTTTAAAATGGCAGATCTAATCAAATTGACCTATTTATTCATTGTAAACCCTATCAAAATCCCACCTGTTTTTTCTGCAAAATTTGAAAGGGCAGTCCTAAAACTACTATGGAAACTTAAGTGACTCTGAATAGCCAAAGCAATCATTAAAAAAGGATAAAGAACAAAATTAAAGGACACACTTCTCAATTTCAAAACTTATTGTAAAGTTAATCAATAAAACTTGACCCTCCCAGCAGTTGGGAAGCTGAGGCAGGAGGATCGCTACAGGTTCAAGACAAGCCTGGGCTACAAAAGTGGGCTCAGGGCCAGCCTGAACTGCACAGTAAGACCTTGTCTCAAAATAAAAAGAAAAGAAAACAACACTTGGCCCTTAATTTTCAGCCCATTCAAAAACAATCAACTCAAAATGGACAGAAGACCATCAGGGAGGCCTTGAAATTCTGAGACTACTGGAAGGAAACACAAAGGAAACAGTTGAATTGCTATGATCAGGAAAAGCAAATCAGCACACACGCTGGTGGGATGGCAGTGAGGGTGGCCGCTATGGAAACCAGCCATGGGTCCTGGGAAAACTAAGAGAGTCATCGCTAATCCCACATCACTCCTGGGCACACGTCCACAGTATGTAGGCCGCCCTGTGCTGTCCAGGAGGCAGCACACCGAAGGGGACACAAGCAGCACACATGCACTGCCTGCACACCATTCCCACTGCCACGCGGTCCACGGCAGGCAAGACACGGGCCAGCCTGTGCGCCAGTGCCAGGCGGAGGGAGGAAGCAGCCATGGTGACGGTGAAGCGTTATTCAGCCTGAAAAAAGAAATTCTGTCACACATGGTAAACTTGCACTAACCAAAACACGCCGGACACACGCACAGGTACCGCGCTCTCTCTCGGGGCAGCAGCTCTGACCAGTGCGCAGCACAGGCGCGGGACACCGCACCGGACCCTGCCACCCCCCAGGACGGGACGTGTTCACCAGACACGGAGTGACAGCTGCAGACCAAGAGTGTGCAGCACCAGCACAAGAACAGATGCATCAACAAAAGGAGCAGGAGGGAGAGCCTAGGAATAAGCCCTGCTCTTCACGGTCAATGGCTCTTCAGTGAAGGCACCAAGAACACTAATGCAGAAAAGAAAATGGGTTTCCAAACTTGCTGGATCTGCAAGGATCACCTTGTGGGACCACCACCCACACCACGCACTTAAACCAGCTGAAGGGGGCGGGAGACCCAACCTACTGAGCTGGAGCACGTGTGGCAGAAACCCTGTTGTGAGCCCCACGACCCTGGACGGCGGTGGCTTCCCAGGACACCTCTCACAATCCGCAGAAGAGGAGAATGGGGCTTGACAGACTTAAACGGTTTGTGCATGGAAACACACTGTCAAAAGGAGGAGTGGGAGAAAATAACAGTAATGATGTATCTGATGAAGGCCTAGCAGCAGCAAGTATTTCAAACTCTCAACTCAACAGTAAAAGACAACCCAGTTTCTAAAGGAGTTACGTAGTCATTTTTCCAAAGAAAATACATAAATAAGCAAACAAAAAGATACCCAACAACATTAATCATTAAGGAAATGCAAATCAAAACCACGATGAATACAAGAACGTCTCATATGCCAGGACAGCCATGATGCAGACAGACAGACAACAAGCTGGGACTCTGGCACATGGCTGGCAGGAATTTGGCAAGGCAGGCGTGGACCCTCGGCAGGGTGAGCACAGAGCCCCAGGCCCCAACAGTCCTGCACCATGGCTTGGTACCCACGGGCCCCAGAGCCACGTCCACAGCGTGCATACAGCGCCTGCAGCAGTGTTAGTTATCAGAGCCACAGAGTAGGGCCTTTCACGCGCACACCCACCGCACGGGCGGTGCTCACCGTTCTGACCTGTGTCACAGCCCAGGCAAATCTTACAAAGCAGACTCCTCAAAGAGACACAGCCAGACTCAAAGCACATACATGAAGTGTCCAGGACAAGAGTCCAGACAGAGGAGTCAGCGGGCGCCTGGGCTGGAGGGGCTGGCGAGGCCTGACGGCGGACTGGGTGCGGGGTGTATTTTGGGGCTGGTGGAAATGTTCCAGAATTAGGCTGTAGTGTGGCCACATAACCCTAATACGGGTCTGCCACACACTTCACAGGGTGAACTCTGTGCAAGCAACACACTCACCACCTCAAGAGCCCACAGCAGGAGTGCACGGCTGCCCAACAGAATAAGGCCCGACACAGCTCCGGCCCAGCCACCCCCTTTGCAGCCACCTCCTAGCCAAGGACTTCACCGCAGGGAGGCAGTGGCTTCCAGGGCTGAGCACGGCCCCAAAGCGTGCAGGCCAAGGCGTGGCCCCAGCAGGCTGGAGTTGGAAGGCAGTGGCACCTCTGCCCCAGGAGCGGTGCAGGTCCCTGGGCCACCACGAGAAGGGGCGGAGCCACTCCTGGAGCCGTGCAGTACTCCTGAGAGCAAGGCCGCCGGAGATCGGCCTTCCGGTGCCTGACCAGTGCCCGCTGTCTATCTCTGCCAGTACCAGGCTGTCTGGGCCCTCCATCCCCCAAACCATGAGCCAAATAACCTGCGTCACTTCACCAAGTAGCAGGCCTTGGGTGTGGTGCTGGAGCCACAGAAAGCAGACGAAAAGCGCACTGATGCCCACTCCTCAGGAAACCCACAACCCCGCCTGCCCCACCCCCACCTGGTCACCCTCACTGCTTCCCCGCCGTCCTGTGGCCGCAGACAGGGTCTGGCAGCCAGCGTCGGGCAGCCCTGGGGACGACAGCAGCTGCGTGTCACTTTGATGAGCATCAGGGGAAGCACAAGGAGCCTGTCTGGCACGGGGTACCGCGTACCGGGGTCAGCATCTCGCTGCCCTCAGGCCACTGTCACACAACACCCGGACCAGGGAACTCGCCTCATGACTAGAGTCTGAGGCCGGAGTCACAGCGCCACAGCCCGGGCCAGAGAGGGCTCCTGTCTGCTGCCTTCCACGTCCTCCCAAGGTATTCCCGCAGAGGAAGGGAGAAGACAGGGCCACCACAGGCCACACAGGGAGATGGCACAGGGCCCGACAGCAGCCAGGACACACAGCTCAGACCTCACTCCCAATGCCTTGTTCACTCAGCCGCTGTGCCCTTGGCACCAGGCCTGAAGCTCACCTCACACGGCCACGGCATCTACGGGCAGCCCGTGCCGTCCAGGAGGCAGAGGCCACACGGGGCCTGAGTCCTGGTAACAGATGTCCAAAGGCCCCTAACGCAGCTATACCGCAGATGTGCACCCACTCAGGGCATCTCGCCAACCTGGGATGAAGCCCAGCCAGCCGCACGGGGAGACAGCACAGAGGCAGGCTCAGCCTCGAGCAGCAGAGGACAGTGTGGTCTCCAGGAAACAGCGCTTCTCAGCCTAGCTTCTCCCGAGCCTGAGACCCGGCCACACAGCAGCCAGGCTCTGCCGTGAAGTCCCCAGCCCAGGAATCAGGCGTCACAGAGTGACCCCGGAGGAAGCAGGCTGCAGCACAGAAGAGAGCTGCCTGCTGCCCACCAAGGACAACCCCTAGTCCCCACAGTCGCTGCTGGGAGGCCAGGCTGGATCCCACCTCAGCGGTGCTGGTGGCGGGCCGTGGGTGCCCTACTGGGCTCTGCCGAGGAGCTCGACTGTCATCCAGCCTCAGCTCTGGAGGACCTTCAGCCCCACTGTGGGTAATGGGCTGACAAGGACCCCAAACCTGAGCAACACCCCTACCCACGCAAAAACACTCAGGTCTGTGATCAACTGACCTGTGACACGCAGGCGGAAGGAGACCTTCCGGCCCCCGGCCTCGCAGCTGTACTCCCCAGCGTCTGCCTCGCCCGCCTGCTGCACCACCAGCTGCCGCCTGCAGCCCGTGGCCTCCACGCGCACCCTGGAGCTCGCGCCCAGCTTCTTCCCGTCCTTCAACCACGTCACCTCCGTCTTTGCCTGGGCCACCTCACAGCTCAGCGTGGCGCTGGCCCCCGCCTCGGCCTGCACCTCGCTGCGTGCCGGCTGCTCCTTGGCGAACACCGCCTTGGGCTCTGGGGGTACACAGGAGGGACACGGGGTCAGAGTTCAGAACATAGAAACCCAAGTGTCAGATTCAGCCGCGCCCCGGCGAAGCCGGTGGACAACAGGAAACACAGGCATGGGCAGAACAAGGGTCCTGTGGTGCAGGCTCAGCACGGGAGGACCTGAGGCCCACAGCCCTGCACAGGGGATGTCCCAGAGCCCACCAGGCAGAGAAGAGACAAGAAAGAAACACTGCGTGACTCTGACCCTCTGCGTGAGACCCCGGGAACGAGGGTCCACACACACACTGCTCTGGGGTTCACACGAGACACACAGCGCAAGAGCCACCCCGGCCCATTCTCGCCGCCAAGCTCTGCTGTACACAGGCCAGCACTGCCCGGCAACTGGCCAGGGTCCCTCTGTGTGCAGAGGAGATGGAGAGGTGAGAACTCGCCCTCCGCTTCACTCAGTGACAGCACCAACCTGGGCACAAAGCTGAGCTCTGACTATGCCCCCCACCTCAAATCTCCTGACCAGCCGACGCCAAGCAGCCACCAGCCTCATCCCCAACACTCTGCCTGCCCCAGCTTCAGAAGAACAGTCTCACACAGGCACATTCTCCTCTCGGGTACTGTACGGACACACAAAACTTGTTTAAAACACACATGCACATGAACTAACACTAAAAACCAGAATAATGTAAAAAAAATGTTTAAATACACCAAGCTGGGCACCATGATGTGTGCCTATAATCGTAGCTATTCAGGAGGCTGAGGCAGGAGGATCTCAAGTTAGAGGCCAACCAAGATGCACACAGTGCCCCCAGGACCCAGGCAGAACAGGATGAGGGTGACAGCATGGGACAAAGGACTCTGTGGGCATCTGGCCCGAGGCCACCTCACCTAGCTCCTGGGCCTTGTGGTCAGACCCCAAGGACACACGGCCCAGCTCCCCAGCATGCTCCTGGCAGAGGGCGTCTGGGTCGCACTCACTATGGACTCTGCTATTCCAGTCGTTTTTGCTTGGGCTCTCTGTTAGCCGCTCAACCTGTTAGGGTGCTCAAGGTCTTTCTCCTTCAATTTTCTGGCAGTTTTAGTTCTGAGCGCAAGGCGTACACTTAGCTACTAAACCACTGAGTTTGTAATTTTTTTTTTTTTTTTTTTTTGAGACAGGGTCTCACTATGCAGTTCAGACTGGCTTGGGATTCACTTTGTAGCCCAGGCTGGTCTCAAACTCACAGTGATCCTCCTGCCTCGGCCTCCTGAGTGCTGGGATTACAGGCATATGCCACCACACTCGGCCTTTAAATTTCAATTTAAAAAAAAACTAAATTCACTTTGATTTCTGTGCTTTCCACTCTGAGTCCTGCCTGACCCTCCCACCCCAAGCTTAGCTGTCCCATGCTCAGTCCTTCCGTGCCTCCATCCCAGGCCCACAGTCTGCAGACCCTGCCTGCCACAGGCCCTGGACGCCCCATCTGAGCCCCACGTCCTGCTGCAGGAGGTGTGAAGGCACAGGCAAGGTCTGCCCTCCTAGGGACTCAGCCTGCCCTTTCCTTTTTTCTTTTTCTCACTTTTTTTTCTTGTATTGCTGAGGTGAACCCAGGTCTCACAATCTAGTCAAATGCTCTGTCACTGAGTTACATCCTCAGCACTTTTTTATTTTAGCTTTTGAGACAGGGTCTCACTAAGCTGTCCAGCCCATCTCTGATTTGTAAGCCTCCTGCCTCAGCCTCCCAGAGTGCCAAGATCACAGGCATGCGCCTCTGTACCTGGCTCTGCACACACTTCTGACCAAGGCCTGATCTGGCCACATCCTGCACCAACCCTTGCTGCAGGCTCCTGGACTTCACAAGGAGGTAGGACAGGCAAGGACCAGCAAGGACACATGGGCCCTGGTCACCACCCCAGGCAAACACATGGGCCCTGCTTTCCCTGGAGCCTGAGGGCAGACCTCCACCCACCTTCCCCAGAGCATGGCATCAGGTCCCCCACCCCAGCATTCTCTTTTCAAGTCCAAGGTGCTTGACTCTGCCTAGGTGGCCATGACACACCCAAGTCCCCACCTCCACAGTGAAGACGCCAAGGGCATGCAGAGCCTTCTAGAGGGACGGGAACGTCCCACCTTGACAGTGGCCACGTGGAGACTACAGTTCCCCAAATCCCCCAAGATAAACACCTCGGGTCTGTGTGCAGGTCACACCTCCAGTATCATCCGCTCAAAAACCTGGAACCAGAGCTTCCTTAGTTTTATGACAGATGTCCTTGTGCACACAAGGGACATCACACTGGAGAGTCTGCCTGAGCCACCAGCGCAGATCCCCGTGCGGCTCCAGAGGACACAAACCTTCGCAGATGTCCACAGCACTAACGACGCCGAGACACGAAGGGAACCTCTCCTGGTGTCAGGGCCAGAGGACCAAAGCTCGCCAGCCAGGGGAGGACATGGGAGAGCAGCACAGAAGGAACAGGCCGCGTCCCCCAGCCCAGCCACAGGAAGCACACAGGCCCCCACCACTCCAGCAGAGCCTCGCCAGTGCCTGAGGTCGGGCAGGCTGGCACCCCGGCCTCGGGCTGGGCACAACTGTCTCCAAGGTGGCTGCCCCACCTGGAAACCCCAGTTCCAACCAGAGACCAGTCAGCGCCAAGACAGCAGCCCCCATGGCTGGGGCGATGTGTGCAGCTGCAGGGCTTTTGGGGGGCAGGAGGCTTCATGCGCAGCAGGATCGAAAACACATAAAATCATATTTTTGGGATTTTAAATCACACTTCTAATGCAAGCTGCAGCTTGAAGACACAAAAGCCATTCGAGTCTTTTTCCCATCTAAAAAACTCACTCAAAAGTGCCTCAAGGTCTTACACAGTGAACCTGTGAACCGGTCTCTGAATCTGTGCTTTGTACCCGTCAACTGCTTCCTGCTCCTCAAGGAAGCGGCAACTTTAGAGGATGGCGACACAGCCCCAGCCCAGATCGGTGGCCTGACCCACAGCGGGAACACCCTGGGTCACCTGGAAAATGCCTGGACTGCGCCCAGCTCGGCTCACACCTCGCCCCCGCTCAAGGGCGCAAACTCTTCTCTTTGAGTCTGCTCCTCCTAGTGCCTGCCTGACGGCACCCCTCCAGAGCCTCTTGCTGACATGTCCTGAAAATTCTTTTCTGCAACAGGAACCAGCAAACCTGAAAACAACCCACCATTAGGGTGGGTTAGGTCCCTCAGGTCAGTTTCAGGATGGCCTGAGAACCACTCCAACGACAGGAGGAGGCCTGAAAGCCCAGAGTCCTCACAGAGGAGGACACAGGCCCCTCTGCTTTTTGAAGCAGGAGAAGGGCGCAGAGGACACTCGACCCTCCCGGGGCCGGGGCTGGGGCTGTCCTGAGCCCCAGGGGACACAGCGCATCTCATAGCAATGCCACCAGCCAGACCTTCCAGGCCCTCCCAGACTCCTGTGGAGCTCACAACACACAGCAGCACCTGGGGCGGGGGCGCAGTGCAGATGTCCCCACCCGAGGCCGGGGCTGAGGACAAGGCCCTGGCACCACGGGGCTGGGAGAAACTAGGACTCCACGCAGGCAGCAGAAACCCTGGGGCCCCAAACTGACCGCTCAACTTCAGCTACAGAGCCACAAGTCTACAGATGGCCATCAGGGTGACCATAAGGCACCGTGGAGAGCACAGCAACGTGCTCTCCATCACGTGCCAGCAGTACTGACTGCCCAACTCCACTCACGAACAGGAGACCGCTGGAGCTGGGTGAGGGGCACCCAGGGCGCAGAGGACATGAGATACACTCTCCCCTGCACAGGCACCAGTCCCACCACCAAGGAACCCACCTGTGATGCACAGGCGGAAGGAGACCTTCCGGCCCCCGGCCTCGCAGCTGTACTCCCCGGCGTCCGCCTCGCCCGCCTGCTGCACCACCAGCTGCCGCCTGCAGCCCGTGGCCTCCACGCGCACCCTGGAGCTCGCGCCCAGCTTCTTCCCGTCCTTCAACCACGTCACCTCCGTCTTTGCCTGGGCCACCTCACAGCTCAGGGTGGCGCTGGCCCCCGCCTCGGCCTGCACCTCGCTGCGTGCCGGCTGCTCCTCGGCAAACACCACCTTGGGCTCTGTGGACACACGGGTACAAAGGGTCAGATACTGCAGACCAGCCAAGCTCCTCCAGACCACAGAGCTCACCCAGGCCTGGCCACCACCAAGGAACCACCGTGGTTAACACAGCACCGTGTGACAACACGCAAGATTGGACCCTGTGTGTCCCAGGGCCTCAGTCCCCAGAGCTGTGAGTGTGGTGGCCACAGGCAGCTGCCCCTTGCCAGCCTCAGCACGTCTGGATCCACTGCGACTGTGTGGTCAGAAGCCGCCACAGCCAGGGATGGCCTACCGTTAACACTGCCCCTCCTGAGGGACGGGACGCAGGCCTTCCCTGCCTCAGTCTCCCAAGGCCCCAGGCCCTTGGTGGCTTCCCAGTGCTGTCCCACCCCATCAGGGACATGAGCAGCAAGACGGAGTGGAGTCAAGAGGGACATCAGCCCTGAGAACGAGGGCAGCCCACAGCCAAGGGCCACACAGCGGGGGAAGGAAGAGACTGCTGCGTAGGCTGCAGGGACGGCTGGGCGCCAGTGTGCATGATGGATCCGGACAGTGCGTGCCAGGCGGGACCACCAGGTGTGTGGCAGCTGAGCCGAGTCTCACCCCAGCCCAGCACAGCCACGTGAACAGCAGGGATCGGCCTGGGCCCAGCAAATGTGACCGAACAGGCAGGGGACCCTTGTGCCCAACAGGGCACACTCTGGGGTCAGCGGCCCCCGTACCCTCCATGACCCGCAGGCGGCTGAGAGCACAGACAGGCCCAGCCTGCCACACTCGTCCCCAGGGGTGTCACGGACCCAGGTCAGTGTCCCCAGGGCACACACTCAGCTCAGCCCACGGCCTGCTTTGGTCTCACGAGGAGACGGCACAGACTGAGAGCCACTGGGCAGAGCTGGGGACACGGAGCTGAGGCCCAAGGAGGAGCAGGACATCGTGGACTGCCAGTGCCCCAGCTGGCCCTACATGCTTGGGAGCATCACACCCGCCAATCGGTCCCCTGCGTTCTGCCCTCTCAGCACCCACCTGTGACACGCAGGCGGAAGGAGACCTTCTGGCCCCCGGCCTCGCAGCTGTACTCCCCGGCGTCCGCCTCGCCCGCCTGCTGCACCACCAGCTGCCGCCTGCAGCCCACGGCCTCCACGCGCACCCTGGAGCTCGCGCCCAGCTTCTTCCCGTCCTTCAACCACGTCACCTCCGTCTTTGCCTGGGCCACCTCACAGCTCAGCGTGGCGCTGGCCCCCGCCTCGGCCTGCACCTCGCTGCGTGCCGGCTGCTCCTTGGCGAACACCGCCTTGGGCTCTGGGGGTGGGCAAGAGGGACACAGGGTCACCAGCCCACCCCACAGAGCTCCCACATCCTGCTTGCTCAGTGGTGGCTGTCCCTGAGGTCCCCAGAAGCAAGGCTCAAGCTGCACAGTGGGGTAGGATGCTGAGCATCCCAGGTGGGCACCCTGTGCACAGCAAAGGCCGCCAGGCAGGCTTGAGACGTCGCCATGATGCCAGCACCAGGCCCAGGGGCCACTCTTGCCCGACTCCTTCTAGCGCGGGGCACACTGCCCACTACACGGCCAAGGCCAGGGCCACAGAGCCTCCCCCAGTTTGCTATGGAGCGCTGCATCTCCTCTTGCTGTCAGGGAGCCAGCCTCCCACAGGAAAGCAGCTTACACAGAAGGCGGTATACACCCCCGACAGCAGCAGTCAGGCCCTGTCCTCGGGACAGCGCCTTCAGGACCAGGGTGGCCGGCACTGCACCGCAGGCCGTGCGACACCCAGGGCTCTGCTCCCAGCTGCCCAGCAACACAGCTGACCCTGGAAGCTCCCAGGTCACCCCAGACTCAAAGCCCAGCCTGCCAAGGACACTGCAACCCTCCTGGCTTGTGTCAGCCTCACTGCCCTTGTTTTTAAAAGGGAAAATTGAGCTTCAAAGTCATCTTTTACTGGGACCTCCCGGCCTGAGTGCAGCCCACACACACACCATAAACAAGGAGTTTCCAGGACCATGAAGCAGCAGGGCTGCTGGGACAGAAGCAGTGAAGTCAGGAACAGAGAGGAAATGCTCTCCCACACCGGAAGGAAAGCCGTTTCCAATAATCACCGCTCCTCACTTCCTGAGTTTCTTTTTAACACTGGCACCTTCCATCAGTTTACATATGATGACAGAAAATATAGTGAATATTAATTTTTTTTTTTTTTGTCTTTTTGAGACAGGGTCTCCCTATGCAGTTCGGACTGGCCTTGAGCTCACTTTGTAGCCCAGGCTGGTCTCCAACTTGAAAGGACCCTCCTGCCTTAGCCTCCCAAGTGCTGGGATTATATGCATGGGCCACCACACCCAGCGTTAAATTTTAAAAGACACACTGCCATGAATCCTTTTCAAAATCCTCCTCCTCATTTCAAACACACTCATCCCATCATTCTTGCCACTTTCTGCAGCAGCTCTGGAGTCCTCTTTCCTACGCTTATAAGATGTGATCAAAAACGTAAAGACTGCTGCCAAGTGCCACCTAACGGAAAGGCAGCTCGTAAGAACACGACACTGTATCTTCACCCCCCTTATTCACCAGATCTGCTAGTTCTGACTCCTGGCTCTTTCCCAAACTCAAAATGACCGTGAAAGGGAAACATTTTGAATTGATTCAGGACATCGAGACGGCCAGCACAGAAAAACTAAAGACACTCAGGACAGAAGACTCCAGAGCTGCTTCAGGAAGTGACAAGAACGGATGAGCACTCAAGGGGAGGGAGTGCTCTGAGGGACAGTAACGGCAATGTGTTTTTCGCTATAATAAATTTTTTTACTTAAACCACACATGGTATTTTTCAATCACAGCTCGTGAGTGTCAATTCTACATGTTCCCACAATCAAAAAAGAAACTGATCCCTGAGCAAAAGAAAGGTCCAGGAAGCTAGTCATGGTGTGCTAGATGCAGCCAGACCTGCTCTCACACACACACACATATATGCACACACACAAATGCTCTCACCAGAGACCCGCAGCTGGAAGTCCACGGAGTCCTCACCCACACGGCAGGAGTAGGTGCCCTCGTCCTGCCTGGTGACAGAGGATGCCACCAGCCGATGCCGTCTGCCCACGTCCTCCTGTGAGAACAGCGGATTCGAGCAGCCCAGCTCCTTGCCATCCTTGTACCAGCACACATGGACCTGTGCCTCCGAGGTCTCACACTCAAACTGCACCGGGTCCCCCGCCACCACATCCACATGGCCACCTGCTGTGTCCTTGTGCAGAAAGGATCCAAGGCCTACAGAGTACAGACAGCCCGTCACAGACCCCCAAGGCTACAGGCTGCGATGCCGGGCCCAGGGACCACTTAAGACACCGGTCCACCCCCAAGACAAAGATCAGCTCACCAGCTGGATCTTAGCCCCAGGACTCCCTCCATCCCTGCCCAGTGGCCACAAGAGCAGCCACACACGCACACAAAGTCCATGCCCTCTGTCCTCCCTAAGCCCCAGAGCTTTCCCGGAGGAGCTGGGGACAGAGCTGGCAACACGGTGGGTCCTCACCCTGCACAGACAGCTGGTAGGCCGTGCGGCTCCCGCGGCCCACACACTCGTAGAGGCCGGCGTCCTCCCACGCCACATCACGCACCAGCAGTGCCCGCCGCCCGGCTGCCACCTGCACCTCATACTTGGAGCCGAGGGGCAGCACACGGCCGTCCTTCAACCACGTCACGGCCACCGCCTGGTCCGACAGCTCAGCCAGCAGCTGCGCCTCCTCATGCAGCCGGGCCAGCACCTCCCGGGCGGGTGGGGGTGGCAGCGGCTTGTTGGCAGTCAGCCCTGGGGGCGGAGTGGGCAAGGACAGAGGGACCACAAACAAAGCGGAGACAGAAGAGAGACAGACGCAGGGTGGAGAAGGTGACAGGGACAGGAAGGGCCCCAGCAAGGAGGACGAACACAGAGAAGAGACAGAGAAACAAGCCAGGAGCAGGTGAAGATGGATGAAGAACCAGCAGGGAGCACAAAAAGAACAGAAATGAGACGTGGAGGCAACCCAGGGAGGAGACAGGGAAGAGGCTCCACGCCCAGGCCCTGTCCCAGCCCAGGGGAGGCGGCCGGGCGCCACCCACCTCGGACAGCCACTCGGACGCTGCTCTCGATGCCGTCAGCCACGAACTTGAGCAGTGCACCGTGCAGGCTGGCAGGCACCCCTCGGATGGTGAGCACGTGTCGGGTGCGGTCCTGCCCAATTATGAACACGCTGCTGGCCTTCAGGGCCTCCCCGTCCAGGAACCACTGGCCGGCGGAAGCCAGCGTGAGGTCCACAGAGAAGGTGACCTCGCCGCCCTCTTCTGCCTCCACTGCCTCCAGGGGCGTTCTCACGGCCAACCGGGGTGCTGCACGCAGCGTGGACACATTAGGAAGGTGAGTGCACGACAACCAGGGGGCGCACTGCAGCCAAGCTGCAAGCCCCTTGCTCTCACAGAGGCCCAGCCCCGGGTTGACACCCCCACTGTGAAGACCCCACCTACCCAGGTGCACGGTCCCCGGAAACTCCAGGCAAGGGCCCTGGCCGAAGCTGTTGACTGCTGACACCCGGAACTGGAAATCGCCCTCCTCAGGTACCCCAGTGACAGTGAGCTCGGGCGTGGCCACCCACTCAGCCTCGTGGCACCGTCTCCAGGCGTAGGTGCCCAGCCGCCTTCTCTCCACAAGGTAGCCGTCAATGGTGACAGGGTGGTCCCCAGGGGGCAGAGGAGACCAGCTGAGGGTCACGGAGCTCTCTGTCCTGGCTTTCACCACAGGGTCAGTGGGAGAACACAGGGGTGGCCTCCTGGGCACTGGGGGCAGGATGGGCTGAGGTCACGTGGGGAGGCCTGCCCAAGCACCAGGCCTGCAGTGACCCAGGAAGAGCACCCAGAGCCCTCAGGAATGGGTCCCAGACCCAGCCCACACCTGCAGCGGTCTGTCTGCAGCAAAAAGGGCCCTGACCTGGGAGGAAGGGAGTGGGGACCCAGTACTAAGGCCTCCCCAAAGCAGCTGGCCAGGGACAGGCCAGGGGGCTGCATCTAGGGCACTGAGGCAGCCCCTGAGGAAGATCAAGGGAAGCCGCTGGGGACCGCAGCTGACCTTACCTGACACACAGAACTGGGTGGACGTGCGGGAGCTGCCAGCCACAAAGGCCACCTCGCCCGCGTCCTCCAGGCTGCACTGGAAGATGGCCAGCGTGTGGCACGAGCCGTCTGCGCTGATGGCCACGCGACCACCAGCCACCACCTCCTCCTGATTCCGCAGCCAGCTCACTGGGCCCTCTGGGACAGCCAGCTCCACGCAGAAGACAGCTGTGTCCCCCATGCGCACAGCTGTCTTCCGGGGCAGCTTCCGGGTCAGGTTCCCTGGGGAGGGGAGGGGCTGTGCTCAACCAGGACCCCGTGGGCTGCCTGCCCAGAAGGGCCATCCAACCGGCCCGCCAAGCTGTCCTCTTCCACTCTCAGCCCACTCTCCCAGCCCTCCCTGCCCACCCCATAGTCACCCCTCCCGCTCCCTGACAGCCTAATCCCCCGCCTGGCCCTGCCCTAACCCAGCCTTGGCCCCATCCGTGCCCACTCCTCCCACGCCCACGCCCGCCCCGCCCAGCCTTGCCTTGCACCGCGAGCTCCGCCACCGTACGGCTGCCCTCCGCCGTCTCGCAGATGTACACCGCGTCGTCGTCGGCTGTGACGTCGCGCACCGTCAGCCTGCGCTCCGAGCCGGCCTCCTCGATGCCGTACTTGGCGCTCGCCCACAGCCGCGTCTCCTCTTTGAACCACGTGGCCTGGGTGCTGGGCAGCGGCACCTCACACTCGAATGTGGCCGAGTCCCTCTCGCGCACCTCCAGGTCGCGCAGCCGCCGCAGGAAGGGCACGGCGGGCTCTGCGGGCACGGGCGCGGGTGAGGACAGGGACCTCAGGGCGGGGCGGAGAGTCCGGGCGGGCCTGACCGGGGCAGCGGGGAGAGGGCACGCCCGGGGAGGGGGACCCTAAACGCGGAGGAGGCAGTCCCAGTGGGCCTGGGGGCGGGCCGTGGGGGCAGCGTGGTGGGCAGCGCGTCCCCGTCGGACGGGAAAGGCCGCGGCTCGTCGAGCGCACGCGCGCCCCGCAGCCCAGGAACCGAGGCAGGAGCGGCGCGCTGGGGTGAAAGGGCGCGGGGTGGCGCCGCCGCGCCCGGGCTCACCTCGCACGACCACCAGCACGGAGCTGTAGGTCTGGCCCACGAGGTTGGACGCGGTGCACGTGTACAGCCCGCGGTCCGACTGTTTGCAGAACAGGATCTTCAGCACGAAGTTCTCCTGAGCGTCCTCGTACGCCATGTGTCGCCGGCCCTCGGCCACGGGCTGCCCGTCCTTCTTCCACACGATGTCGGGCTTGGGCTCGCCGGTCACGAAGCAGCTGAGGCGCGCGTGCTTGCCCTCGGTCACGGTGCAGGTGCGCGTGCCCGCGCCGGGCGGCGACGCGGGGGCGC